ACACCCCCGGGCTTAAGGCGGTGTGGGTACAGATAAAGTGTAAACCGTTGTTACCTAATCGGATCCGTCTATCGAGCAGATAAGAGCGCGGGATACTGGGATCTGATTGAGGAATCTGTCGGTAACGCCGTCGACCTGAACATGTATACTATCGTTGTCGGTGACTTTAATATAGACGTCCTTCGGGAAAATCGAACTAAAATAGATAACCTTCAATTGATGTATGACCTTAAACAGATTATATCAGAACCAACTAGAATTACACCACATTCAAGTACCCTGATAGATCTAATTTTTGTTTCGAATATTTAAGCTGTAAATGACTCGGGAGTCCTTGACCCTATCTGCAGTGACCATTGTCCGATATTTGTGGCCATCAAACGACCAATTCCCCTCCCTACAAACTATAAGAGGAGAGTTTATTACTATCCGTTAGTTGATACTGTAAGAATGAACAAGAGTGTCGATGATATTGATGGTGATATTTTATTTTCTTCCAATAATATAGATAAGATTGCAACATTGACAATAATGAAAATCTGCGATCAACATATACTGTCACTATTAGACCTGCAGATCCGCTTTCGATGACGAGTCAAATCCGTTCTTTGATTCGGAAACGTAATCGTCTACATAAAATTGCAAAGAAATGTAACCATCCAACGTAGTGGGCTAACTTCAGATCAGCAAGAAATAAAGTTACTTCCGCTATTAATACTGCTAAACAAATTTCGTTTCTAAAATTGAAGACTCTGTTAATACCTCGATCGGTACCAGAACGTGGTGGCGTCTGACGAAAGGGTTAATAAAATCACGCAACAATGACAATCAATTCGGGACAAGTATCTTTAACGATACAATATATAATGACCCTGAAGAAATCGCAAATGTTATAAACAATTACTTTATCGCTCAGTCGACTATTGCTGATTCAAATCGAGATTTGCCCAATACCGAGTTTCCTTGTAACCCAAAAATAACTAACATTACTCTAACACGCGATGACGTCAGAGATATTTTAATGTCACTGGACACATCAAAAGCGACCGGTCCGGATGGGGTAGGAAATATAGAACTTATATATACCGCAAATAGTCTAACATCTATACTTACGAAATTATGCAATTTATCGCTTAGCCTGTCAATTTTTCCCAGTCCATGGAAAGAAGCATCGGTAATACCTATTCACAAGAAAGATAGCGTACATGAATGTTCTGACCGCCTCCGTGGTGTAGTGGTTAGAGCGTCCACAAGGAGAGCGGAAGGTCGCGGGTTCGATCCCCAACCGCGTCATACCAAAAGACGTTCAAATATGGTACTTGTTGGTCCCTGCCTGGCGCTCGGCATTAATGGTTACAACAAGGACTGGTCGGCTCGGAGTCAGTATAATGTGTCTGAGTGGGGTATTCATGCTTCACTGCGGCATGGTATCTCAGTGGGCTAGCACTATAAAACCAGCTTCAGTCTGGGCTAGTACAAGCAGCCGCACACACACATACACACGCATGCACGTTGTCATTTGAGCGAAATATTCTCAAGTACGACGTTAAACCCAGTTTCACCTCACCTCACCACACATGAATGTTCTAAATACCGCCCTGTCGCACTCACATCTTGTTTATCGAAAGTCTTTGAGAAATGTGTATTTAAATATGTATTCAATTTCTTAAGAGATAACGACTGAATGACAAATTTACAATGAGGATTTATGCCAGGAGACTCCACAACAAATCAATTAACCTTTTTGTGCAACTTTATAGCCAAAGCTCTTGACGAAGGAAAAGAGGTCTGAGCAGTCGTCTGCGATATACGTAAAGCCTTTTATAAGGTCTGGCATAGAGGAATTATTTATAAACTGAAAACCTATGGTATCCAAGGCGAACTATTGAAATGGTTTGAAAGTTATTTAGAAAATAGAGTACAACGGGTCGTAATTAACGGCTATAAATCTGACAAGAAAACTGTACTAGCTGGAGTACCTCAGGGCTCTGTCCTTGGACCACTTCTCGTTCGGATAAACATCAATGATATTGTATGTGATGTTGACAGTAACATTCGTCTCTTTGCGGATGACACCTCATTATATGTTATCATAGACGATCCATCAGTTGCTGCTACCTGTCTTAACAATGATCTAGATAGAATTTCACAATGGGTCCGTAAGTGGCAGGTTACATTTCATCCAAATAAAACCGAAACTACTCAGTTCTCACGAAAAACGAAACCGTCTCTGAAACCGAACCTATTCATGGACGGAACAATCATAAAAGAAGTCAAAAGTCATAAACATTTAGGATTAACACTCCAAAGCGATTGTACATGGAATGATCACACTAATGATATTGTACGTAAAGTTCGCCCTTGGATCAGTTGCCTGTGGAATTAAATACCGATTATCACGTAAAACGTTGGATATTATGTACAACAACCAACTGCCAAAATATCTTTGTGACCTGATCCCAAACTCCGTCTCCGGAACTACAAACTACAGCTGGAGGAATAACTCTGAAATACAAGGAATTTACAGTCGCACTGCCTCTTATGCTAAATCCTTTTTACCTGACACAATAAATTTATGGAATGCCCTACCAAATTCCAAAGCGTCATGTAGTCTCACAGAATTTAAAAACCTAATTACAAAAACTGAAAATAAGATTTACTTTGACCTTAATTATGGCACTCGTTTTTGCCAAATCGTTCACTGCCGCCTCAGGCTCGGATGTAGCGACCCAAACGCCGATAAGTATAACAGACATTTAAAAGACAGCCCATGTTGTTCTTGTGGACATCAGAGTGAAAACGCCCTACACTATTTCCTCACTTGCCGAAACAATAATCGGATAAGACTTAATATGTATTTTTACACTACCGGTTATAACCTGGATACCATTCTTAAGGGAAACAAAGAACTTACTCCCTGTGTAAACCAGAAAATAGTTGAATCCGTCCACGATTATATAACCAAGACACAACGCTTCAAATTTTCTCAGGAAAATAATTAAATTTACTCAACAACCTCCTCATGATTGATTTATATTTCTACAATGGCTTTTAGACACACACAACTGTAGCTCTCTAACCTATGACTACTTAGAGAATAGTTTTATTTCATGTAATCTGTATATATTTTTTATATATATATATTTAAAAATATTATATTTATTCAGTGGTCAGTATCGGTGACGTCAAATTCTCCATTTCATGTTGTATTATACTTTGCATGGGAGCGGTGTTAACATAAGCAGTAATGCTTGTTCGCCAATCCCAATTGATTTTCATGACTAAAAATATGTTGAAATCATGTACATACTCTCTCGACTCTCCAAAATTTTCCATTCGCAGGAAGGGGACCTCTAGTTTGTCTTTGATGCTGTTGTAACAATGGATTAACAAGGGACTGCCGTCAGTGGGTCATCTCAAAGTGACTACAGGCCCTGACAGGCAACGAACAGTACTAGTGTTCACTCCAATCAACTTAGACTGACTGACTGAGCTTAGTTTTACGCCGCTTTTAGCAATATTCCAGCAATATCACGGCGGGGGACACCAGAAATGGGCTTCACTCATTGTACCCATGTGGGGAATCGAACCCGGGTCTTCGGCGTGACGAGCCAACGCTTTAATCACTAGGCTACCCCACCGCCCCCAATCAACTTAGAGATTACATGAAGTGTATTCACTTCATTATGTTCACTCAGTGTCATATGCTGGAAATGGAGGTTGTTGCTTCACATTCGAATTGGCAAACGATTGTAAGTTTCTCCCAACAGCACGTGGTGGCAGTTATTTATGTGTAGCTGGCTTTATGTATAGAATTAGTAAAAGAAAGAATGGGGACTGGGTTTCTTGGAAATGCACTACCAAGGCTGCAGTGCCCGTGTTTCCACTGTTAATGACATCCTGACGAAGGAGGCTCACAACCATAACCATCCCCTGGTCCACAACGACATTAAGGTAGTTAAACTACACATAATTTTATTGTATACGAGACATGTAAAATAATATATACAAAGATCACATATCAATAAATCAGAATAAAATGCATATTCACATTATGGAGGAAAGCCCAACACTTCGGCCTCCTGGTAGACTACAACCAGAATCCTGAAATCACCCGGTTCGTGCGACACTGTGCAGTGCTGCCTTTGGTTCCATTAGCCGATGTAAGGCATACTTTTCAATAGACATTTATGTTCCACGTTTAGGTTAATGTACACATTTTTCTTATGTAAACTCGTGTTTAACTCGACATCGTTGTAAGTAATATGTAAATAATAAATATGTAATTTATTCATCAGATCGACGACACTAGCAGATATGCCCTAAGATAGAAGGTGTGAACAATTAACGGACTATGTTACCACCCAGCGGATTGAAGGAGACCTGACACCAGCAGTCTGGTACCACCAGCAGTCTGGTACCACCAACAACGACACCGAGGGTCCCCGTACCAACAACCACCTTGAGGGGTGGCATGGTCGCCTTAAGAAGATTGTCGCCAAGGATCACCCAAACGTCTTCGAGCTCATCCGGTTCCTGACATCTGAACAAAAGGAGAACGAGATTCATCTGGTCCAGTATGCTGCTGGTCAACGCCTCCCTCCCAAGAAAAACAAGTACCAGCACATCCAGAGAAGACTCGGCAACTTGAAAGACAGGCTACGTTGGGGAGACATCGACGTCCTACACTTCGCTGATGCTGCCTCCCATATTGTAAAACTCCAGTAATGTCCATTGAACCCTACTGCTGAATTGTATATTTGTATGCTGTCTGCTTTGTTAATAATAAAATGCCCATTAACAGATGTCTTAGTTTGTTTATTTCTTATACCCCAACGCAACCTGACCCATCCGTTTTCCACCCGATTCTAAAAACAACTTTGAGGTATGGAGTCAATACGTTGTCCTTTGCACATGGGATAACACAGTCATCGGTAAAATGACACCCGGCTGTAACAAGACCCACACCCACGCAGCGCAGATCGGCACAGAAGACAACAGGTTTTGGCTACATTTTATTTGTCTGAAATACAATAGATACAAGGATACTTTCCATGCAATGTTAATCACTGACGTGATGTGAAACATGAGAGTGGGTGAATATAGTTTTACGCCGCTTGTAGCAACATTATTCCAGCAATATCACAGCGGGGACACCAGAAATGGGGTACACACATTATGCCCATATGTGGAATCGAACCCGGGTTTAACCACTTAGGCTACACACACCGCCCCTGAAATGGGTGAAATTTGAAGAACGAAATTGGGGGGTTAACTGGTGCAACCAAAACTACACGCTTAACCTCACACATCAAAAAGAGAAATGTTGAAATCTATAAAAGTACCAAATACTGTTATCCCGACAATAACTGAACACATACTCCTGTTAAATAATTGTCAAACATTTCAATCATTATTACTATAGAGCTTAACACTTATTCCCTTAATGAAATATATGTTAACAACAAATGAAAACACTTCTATTTCACCATCATTTTAAGACTTAAATTTGAATTTTTCAATTATTTAACTTTAGAAGACAAATGATTATGGAAGGAAATACGTACACCATGTATAAAATAGGGACTACATTTTATGTGTGCAAAACTAACTGAGCTAAAAAAAATCATTTGTTGCAAATTACATAGTTACAAATCTTTATCTCGACAAGCAAAATAGGCATTTTTATATGCAAAAAAACAAATGTTGACAGAGCGGTTGCTGCACTCTATTTTAAGGAAGACACAATTATGACATAAGCAATGTCACAATGGCGATCTGAAACACCGATATACTGAGACATACTGAGGGATTTTACGGGCGTTTGCATTGGCAGTCCTCGCCTTCAGGTGATACGTTGACGCACAAAGTACGAAGGTTGTGAATGATGAAAGTAATTCAGATGAGCTGGACAGCGTATGTCCCCGTCACATCCGTAATCTCTTCGCTTGACAATGCCATATTGATGAATCTCATCAGCCTTTTCTCCGGGACTTTCGCCATCTTCAGCAAAATCTTCACAGACCACGTTTTCCCCGCACCGATGTCCCTGTACAACAGATATCAGCAAGACTTTATTATTGCAAGGTTCATGCTTACGAATCGTTGATACTTTTACTACAGCTGAATGAATAAAATTCATAAATGTCTTAACATTTTTTGTTTGGTTTGTTTTTTTGGTTTTTAACGCCGCACTCAGCAATTCTCCAGCTGTATGGCGACGGTCTGTAAATAATCGAGTCAGGACCAGACAATCCAGTGATCAACATCATGATCATCGATCTGCGCAATTGAGAACTGATGACATGTGTCAAACAAGTCAGCGAGGCCGACCACCCGATCCCGTAGGTCGCCTCTTACGACAAGCATGCGTTACTAATCGGGTGTTTACGGGTAAATGACTTATTGTTTTCGAACGAATGCCGGAAGAAGCAAAATGTACTCATGAATTTACCCTATATCCATATCCTCCTGTGTCTTGTCCACACACTTCATACGGCCCTCCATGCTCAGCTTGCATTTAGTGAGAGGAACGTTCATGGTGTTGGTCAAGGACACAGTAACGGTTACCTCGCCCTCTTTCTTACACTTCTCAGGTCCCTGAATGCATAAGATGGAACTGTTGGGTAGAATCGCTGGCATAAAGTAACTGTCAACGTCTTTCAGGACGAAGCAATTGATGGGCGGAATATATTGTCATTACTGATCTTTGTTAAGAGGCAAGGAACACCACAGGAAAATGACACGTGGTACAGATATCATCACAGGGACATGACACTTGGTACAAATATCACAGGAAGATGACACTTGGTACAAATATCACAGGAAGATGACACGTGGTACAGATATCACCACGGTGACATGGCACGTGGTACAAATACCATCAAAGGAACATGATACCTGTTAGAGATATCATCAAAGGGACATGATACGTGATACAGATATAGTATGACCAGAATTTATTGAGAATTTTAGGAATATGTTTAATTGGATTTCTAGTATAAACAACCGTGACCAGCTATGAAGTGCTTGGTTTCATTCAAGAGAGACAACTCCGTTAATCCTTTTACATTAGTTTGTGAAGTGTTATCCCCCTTTGTTTACTTGCTAGCAGATGACATTTTCAGTGATCCTCAGTATGGATGATTTAGAGAAGAGGAAGTTGATTTTAGAGTATTATAACAAGGACATCAGATCAGCTAAAGTGATTTCAAGTAGAACAGGCATCCCTTTGTCACCGTTTATCGTGTTTTGAAAAATATTGCAAATGGATATGGCACTGAGCACCAAGGAGGCGGAGGTAGGCCAAGAACATTGACTGTCGGTGACAGGAGGCGGCTTGGTATTCTTGTTTCTAAAAACAAACGAAGGAGTTTAGAAAACTTAAGGCTGGATATGATTGATAGAGGAACTGTGGCTGTCTGTAAGGAGACAATTAGAACTGAGCTCCATGCAATGGGTTGGTAGAAAAGTCAAGGAATTCCATCACCGATCATGAAACCTGAACAAAAAGAGCGAAGGTTGATCTGGTGCTTACAGCATAGAAATTTTAACTGGGACAACGTGGTTTTCTCAGATGAAAGTTGTGTGGTTGTTTCCTAATACACTGAAATTCTGGACCAAACAAACTCAAAAACCTTTGTATCAGCGCCCAAAGTACAGTCCGAAATTTAACGTGTGGGGTGGCATATCTGTGTTAGGGGCAACGCCCCTCTGTGTATTTGAAGGGAATATGAACAGTGAGCAGTACACAGATGTTCTCGAGGGACATTCACTTCCATCTGTTCAAGTGTTCTATGGAAATGTTTGGATTTTCCAGCAGGACAATGAATTCACAGGCCTGGTTTCGGACCCAAAATATGACATTATTAGATTGGCCAAGTTATAGCCCTGACCTAAATCCAATAGAAAATGTTTGGGGACTTATAAAGGAAAGAGCCAAAAAGAAAAATCTGACAAATATTGCTGAAATGAAAGAATAGGTGGTCCGATATTGGGACAGCATGGACCGAGACATTCCTGTTCAGTAGTATGCCCCGCCGCATTGAAGCCTGCATTGCTGCCCATGGCGACTTGACAAAATACTAACTGTTCACCTGTCTTTGAATCTGGAGTTATGTTCTGCTAATATTCACATTTAATACGTGAGTAATGAGTGAAAAAAATTAAAAATTACAATCTTTAAATTCTCAATAATTTCTGGTTGTACTGCAACATCATGAACATCTGACACGTAGTAAACTGAATACCATGATTACAGATAGATCACGGGTCATGCCATGGTACAGATACGTGGTACAAATAACATCACGGGGTCATGCCATGTAGTAAAGGGAACATGACGGGTACATTACATTACGTGGTACAGATAACATCACATGTAGTAAAGGGAACATGGGGTCATGCCATGTAGTAAAGGTAGTAAAGGGAACATGACGACATGTAGTAAAGGAACACGGGTATTACGTGGTACAGATAACATCACGGGGTCATGCCACGTAGTAAAGGAACATGACGGATACATTATACGTGGTACAGATAACATCACGGAGACATGCCAGTAAAGGGTACGGGTACAAAGGGAACATCACACGGAGTACATTATACGTGGTACAGATAACATCACGGAGACATGACATGTAGTAAAGGAAACATGACGGGTACATTATACGTGGTACAGATTATGCCACGTGGTACAGATAACATCACGGAGGCATGACATGTGTCACAGTGATCATCATGGGCAAGTGCATGGTACACAGAAACAACAAGTCACTCCGAGGAGATCCTAACAATACTGTTGTCAGGATGCGCTAACTCAAAGAAAACATCAAAGAAAACATTCTTTATTTCGAGTTTCGCATTAAGACCATTAGCTATATTACGCCCTACCGTTATATCCAGGGGCGGATTGCGCACATTCACCCTTTCCGATGTCTTCAGAGTGCTGTCCGATTCCTTGACTGATGCAAGGACACTGCACGTGTATGTGCGTCCTATTGCAGTCTTGAGAGTTTCCATGGTGTCAATCTTCACGGTCATCACTTTCACTGTAATGGTGATAACGATGATGATGCCTTTTATAACGATATTGAAACTGTATCAACAGACAGAGTTCGTCAATATCATACTCTTAATCCAAGGTGTTTCCTTTCAAAGTCCCATGTTGTTGATCACTGGGTTGTATGGTCCAGACCCGATTATTTACAAACCGTCGCCATATTTGCATGCACATCATGAAAACCTCGTGCCCGAAATTGGCGTGTTTGCACGACATTCGTTAGACGCTGTGCATTTGATAAGTATATCGTTATTACAAATCTTTTTTTTGCAAATGTTAAATTCTATTCACACAAACATTTTTACAGCTGATTTTCTTTTTGTGCATAAATTTGATTATTTACTTATGTTATCTACTTTACCTGAACTTCTTATGAAGTTTTTATAAAAATCCATTCTTTTTCTCTTCATTTCGATCAAATTCTCGAATGTCATTGGATACTCGAAATTTCGAGAATATAATCGAAATTTCATTGTTTTAAAGAAAGTGTCTGCCTTCATGTTTAACCTCATCATAGTCCTCACCAGCGCCAACCTTCATGACGAGATTGGTCTCCTTCTTCTCAGCTAAAACCACCTCAAACTTGCCGGTGTAGTCGGAATTACTACATTTCATGGCGATGGAGACTGTGCGAGTCATGTCGCCGGTGTTCCTTGCGGTCAACTTGAACACCAACTCAGAACCCAAGTACACGGCGCCAATCTCTTCTATTGTAAGTTCAATGGCCTATAAAGTCAACGAAATCACACACTACCGGTAATCGAGTTTACAGGTGTGACATCAACCTGATTCTTTATAATATCTGAATGAGGACAAACAACGCATAAAACAGCAAGTTTATATGGGAACCAGCTTCTACTGGTGGTGGTTCCTCCCATCTTTACTTCTGCTGGTGGTGGTTCCTCCCATCTTTACCTCTACAAGTAGTCCCCTCCCTCCCTTCCCATACTTACTGGTGGTCACCCCTCCCCATCCAACCACCTCCCTACCTTCTCTTACCTACGGGTGATGACCCCTCCACATCCTACACCCTTTTTCCCTACTCTTACCTCTACTGGTGTTGAAACCATCCTTCCCTTCTCTTATCCCTACTTGCGGTGAGCCCATACTCACCTTCTCTTACCTCCACTGGTGGTGACCCTATCCTTACGTACTCTTACCTCTACTGGCGGTGACCACATCCTTCCCTTCCCTTATCCCAACTGGTGGTGACCCCATCCTTCCCTTCTCTTATTCCTACTGGTGGTGACCCCATCCTTCCCTTCTCTTACCTCTACTGGTGGTGACCCCATCCTTACCTACTCTTACCTCTACTGGCGGTGACCCCATCCTTACCTACTCTTACCTCTACTGGCGGTGACCCCATCCTTACCTACTCTTAGCTCTACTGGTGGTGTTGCCATCCCTACCTACTCTTACCTCTACTGGCGGTGTCGCCATGCCTACCTACTCTTACATCTACTGGCGGTGTCGCCGTCCCTACCTACTCTTACCTCTACAGATGTTGACCCCCACCCTCCCTACTCTTACCTACTAATGGTCACCACTCCCCATCCAACGCCCTCCCTACCTACTCTTACCCCTACTGGTGGTGGCCCCCTCCCTCTCTTCTCATACTTACTGGTGGTCACCCCTCCCCATCCAACCACCTCCCTACCTACTCTTACCTCTACTGGTGTTGAAACCATCCTTCCCTTCTCGTATCCCTACTTTCGATGAGCCCATACTCACATTCTCTTACCTCCACTGGTTGTGACCCCATCCTTACGTACTCTTACCTCTACTGGCGGTGACCCCATCCTTCTCTTCCCTTATCCCAACTGGTGGTGACCCCATCCTTCCCTTCTCTTATCCCTACTGGTGGTGATCCCATCCTTCCCTTCTCTTACCTCTACTGGTGGTGACCCCATCCTTACCTACTCTTACCTCTACTGGTGGTGTTGCCATCCCTTCCTACTCTTACATCTACTGGCGGTGTCGCCATCCCTACCTACTCTTACACCTACTGGCGGTGTCGCCATCCCTACCTACTCTTACATCTACTGGTGGTGTCGCCATCCCTACCTACTCTTACCTCTACTGGCGGCGACCCCATACTTACCTACTCTTACATCTACTGGCGGCGACCCGTTACTTACCTACTCTTACATCTACTGGCGGTGACGCCAACCTTACCTACTCTTACCTCTACTGGCGGTGACGCCAACCTAACCTACTCTTACCTCTACTGGTGGTGTCGCCATCCCTACCCACTCTTATATCTAGTGGTGGTGACCCCATCCTTACCTACTCTTACCTCTACTGGTGGTGTTGCCATCCCTTCCTACTCTTACATCTACTGGCGGTGTCGCCATCCCTACCTACTCTTACACCTACTGGCGGTGTCGCCATCCCTACCTACTCTTACCTCTACTGGCGGTGTCGCCATCCGTACCCACTCTTACATCTACTGGTGGTGACCCCATCCTTACCTACTCTTACCTCTACTGGTGGTGTCGCCATTCCTTACCTACTCCTACCTCTACTGGCGGTGTCGCCATCTCTACCTACTCTTTCATCTACTGGCGGTTACCCCATCCTTACCACCTTACCTACTCTTGCCTCTACTGGCGATGACGCCAACCTTACCTTCTTTTATGTCTACTGGTGGTGTCGCCATCCCTACCTACTCTTACGTCTACTGGTGGTGTCGCCATCCCTACCTTCTCTTACATCTACTGGCGATGTCGCCATCTCTACCTACTCTTACATCTACTGACGGTGACCCCATCCTCACCTACTCTTACCTCTACTGGCGGTGACGCCAACCTTACCTACTCTTACCTCTACAGGTGGTGTCGCCATCCCTAACTACTCTTTCATCTACTGGCGGCGACCCCATACTTACCTACCCTTACATCTACTGGCGGTGACCCCATCCTTACCTACTCTTACCTCTACTGGCGGTGACGCCAACTTTACCTACTCTTACGTGTACTGGTGGTGTCGCCATCCCTACCTACTCTTACATCTACTGGCGATTGTCGCCATCCTACCTACTCTTGCATCTACTGACGGTGACCCCATCATACCTACTCTTAGCCTCTACTGGCGGTGGCGCCAACCCACCTATTCTTACATCTACTGGCGGTGACGCCATCCTTACCCTACTCTACCACTACTGGTGGTTAGCCCATCCTTTCCTACTCTTACCGCCTGCTGTGGTGGTGGCCCCATCCTTACCTACTCTTGGCTCTGGTGGTGAGCCCCTCACTACGCACTTCTCTTATTCCTACTGGTGGTATCCCTCCCTACCTACTCTTACCTCTAATGGTGGTGACCCCATCCCTTTCTTCTCTTAACCCTACTTGTGGTGAACCCTCCCCTTCCATCCTCCCTACTCTTACCCCTACTGGTTGTGACCCCCTCCTTACCTACTCTTACATCTACTGGTTGTGACCCCATCCTACCTACTCTTATATCTAATGGACGTGACCCCTCGCCCCACCTACTCTTACATCTACTGGTGCAGGACCCCTTCTTACCTACTCTGTCTACTGCTGGTGGTGACCCCATCCTGTCTACTCTTACCTCTACTGTTGGTGACCCTCCCTATCCAACCCCTTCCTCCCTACTCTTACCCCTACTAATGGTGACCCCCTCCCGATCCAACCCCATTCCTCCCTACTCTTCTCTACTGTTGGTGACCCCTCGATCCAACCCCTTCCTCCCAACTCTTACCCCTACTGATGGTGACCCTCCCGATCCAAACCCCTTCCTCCCTACTCTTACCTCTACTGTTGGTGAGCCCCTCCCGATCCACCCCCTTCCTGCCTACTCTTACCTCTGCTGTTGGTGACCCCTCGATCCAACCCTCTTCCTCCCTACTCTTTACCTCTACTGTTGGTGACCCTCCCGATCCAACCCCTTCCTCTCAACTCTACCTCTACTGATGGTGACCCTCTCGATTCAACCCCCTTCCTCCCTACTCTTACCTCTACTGTTGGTGACCCCTCCCGATCCAACCCCCTTCCTCCCTACTCTACCCCTACTAATGGTGACCCTCCCGATCCAACCCCCTTCCTCCCAGCTCTACCCCTACTGGTGGTCACCCATCCCGATCCAACCCCTTCCTCCCAACTCTTACCCCTACTGGTGGTCACCCATCCCGATCCAACCCCCTTCCTCCCTACTCTTATCTCTACTGGTGGTGTCCCATTCCTCCCAACTCTTACCTCTACTGTTGGTGACCCCTCCCGATCCAACCCTCTTCCTCCCAACTCTTACCTCTATTGGTGATGGTTCTTCCCCTTCTTTTCCTTCAAAGTTGGCCAACCTAAACGCCCGCTCTGCCCGACGGACAACTGCACGTTCTTCTTTAGAACCTGGAACAAGTTTAGTCCCACAACGAGATGTCACAATTACGCCTATGTTTCACAAGTGGATACTTTTGATGACTTTTAGTCAACCTCTCCTCACACCAAGTACCCTTTTAATAACTCATCTACGAATCTGTGGCAAACCCGTAGTTTTCTGTAGTTATTTGTTTTTGGCCCCAAATCTTCATTTATACCATCAGTACCATGACATGATATTGTTGTACATGTATTTTGATATTTAAATACTGTTATGTAACACATACATTGATCTAAGCAATAAAGTACCTTCCTCATGCTTGTATTCATGAGTGATATCCAGCCTTTCACTTTCCTCTTCGTCCTGATTGAAAGGGCTTGCCGGTCGGCGCATGGGTACTGATGTCTTGCCAACACTGGAAGGTATTGTGTTAGATGGTATAGCCTAGTTGGTGCATATACACTTGCCAAAATCGTGTTGGATGGTATAGTGGTTCTGGTTAGTTAGGCTACACTTGCACAACACAATATATGATGATTTACAAAATTTAAAATCTTTGTAGAGATGATATTTACAAAGTTTGTAAATATCTTGCAAACGTCATCTTTGCAAAATTGTAAATGCCCTGCAAGCCTCATCTTTACAATACATTTATGAGCTTGAAAGTGTAGACTTTTTTGCAGTGTTGCCAACGCTGGAAGGTATCACATTTGAGGGTATAGTCTGGTTGGAACATATACAATTGCCGACATTAGATAATACAGCCTGATTATACTGATACATTTGTGAACTGGGTATTTGTCAGTACTGGAAAATAGGCACCAGCATAATGATCCTGTTAACCACACCCCACACCTTCAAGTACGGGTCAGGACACTCTAGAAAATGACCCAGGTGAAATCACTGTTTTACGTACGCGTTTTTCTTCCTTGACAGCTGTATGAACTTCGTTTTGCTCCGGTTAACAAGCCACTCAACTCTGTCCCCGTTCACCTCGGCGAAGATGAAAGCAGTGTCGAGGCCGACATGAACACGCCCCTCCTTAACTGCCGCCACAGGACAAGGACCGCACTGAAACACGCCTACAGAGGGCGTGGAATCGGCCATTTTGAATTATCAAGTTGAACACAGCCCTTAAGGGACCATTTACAATTTATGCGGCGGTGTGTGTGTGTGTGTGTGTGCGTGCGTGCGTGCGTGCGTGCGTGCGTGCGTGCGTTGTGTGTGTGCGTGTGTGTGTGTGCTGTGTGTGTCTGTATTATTGTCTGTGTGTAAAATGCTAGTGTGTGTTGTTGAAAATACAAACTTAGAAATATGAGTTTTACAATCAGTGATAGTAAATATTTACAAACAGAAATGGAACAGTCTCACACAGACTCCCGAATTATAATTCCAGGGTAGGACTATTCATATTGCCATAGCAACAATACAGGTATCACCCACCGTCACTTCTCTCCTGTGGGGTGGCGTCTATGACCTGCCAACCGTCGTATACCCCCTCTCTCCCCTCGGAGTCCTCCAGGTCAGGGCGACTCATCCACGCCTCGTTCCATACATGGAAATTCCTGGAATTAGAAAGGAAGCCTGAAGTGATGCTTGTCTTACACGTTTACCGGGATTCGAAACTACAAACTATGTTTCTGATGAACCAACGGGACTCAAGTTTACAGCGATTCCCTGTGTGCCTCCGGCGAGTGAGCAACTCCCTCAATATCCGCTGCTGTAGATCCCTAGTCTCGTCAGGTGAAATGGTTTGGTTGATATAGCCTAATTTGTATGTATTTAACTTGTGTTGTAATGTTGATCATAAACATGTGTTTGTCTTTTGACGATGTCTGTAAACAACACAATCTGGGCAAGAAAAATACAGTGATTGTCATCAAGAGCATCTAATTTTAACAGATGAGCTTCAAACAATGTAAGGAACTTAATAATTTGAGAGGAAGTGAACACCCTAAACACAACGCATGGGATGCGTGCACAACACAGTAGTAATATAACACACGTGCATGTGGTGTCATATATGATTTTGACGCTTGTCAAGAAGGTCGATAAATCACTGTAGACCATTAATTTTGGCAATCATCTTGCATCACACACTTGGTAGTGTTTTTTGTTGTTGTTTGAAATTGAAAATCGTACACGCAAATTTCACATATGTATTGACAGATAGCCGTTGCTCCATCATGTAATAATAGAAGGTTCTAATGCACTCATACGACTTTCTGTATTTATAAAATACCCTTTTTAACTGACTCTTTAATAGATCTCGTTAAATTGGGAATTTCCATGAGTTAGTGAGTGAGTGAGATTAGTTCTACGCCTTTTTTAGCAATATTTCGGGGGACACCAGAAATGGGTTTCACATAGTGTACCGATGCGGGGAATCGAACCCGGGTCTTCAGCGTGACGAGCGAAGGCATTACCACTAGGCTACCCCACCGCCCCCGTGAGTTAGATAATGTCTAAATTTAGATGTGTACGGATGGATCCGAGTATTTCCGAACATCGGAAATAGTCTGTCCGGCAGCCATCCAATACGGAATTTGCTTATTTCTGCGTATTGTAAAGTTGTACTGTTTGTAGTATACCTTGGGTTTCACTATACAAGTTCGTCCTGAGGGTGGTATTATTAAATCCAGGGATTGAGAAACGAATAGCAATATCATGCCGACATCTTTATTCCCGCTCACGGTACACATCGCCACCTATCGGGAAAGTAACTCTGCCTGACACTCTCGTATTCAAGATTCGAGTATTTAAAACACAACACTGTTGTCATACGATCACATGCGTATGTAATTTCTCCTGGTTGCCTAGTCTCCTGGCTGGTATGCTACGTTTACAATTAATATATGGAGAATCTCACCCTCGTGTCTTTTGATATCAAATATATCACAAAAAGTTGATAAAGTAACAAATATCCGAGGCTTGCCGAGGATATTTTTACTTTATCAACGAGCTTTGATATATTTAGTATTAGCAGACATATACCATCAAAATAACTCTTCGTTAGTTTTCAATGGAAAATGTACATCTCTGAGACTTGCAGTACAGTGATGTCATAGCATTGTGACGTCATCAAGTTCGTGACGTCATATCATTGTCAGATATAAATTGTCAGTAAATAAGATGCATACCACACCGAGTCTATTTCTTCTTCTTCAAAGTCTCCATTCGGCAGCTTGTAGTTGTACATGTCGATGCTCAGATGTTCCTTGTCTGTGTTATGGGCTGAGTCAAAGTTGGTGACACTCCGACAAGGGATTCCTAGCGCCCGACACACTGGCGGTAGAGGCAGTAATGACAAGATGTGAGGCATGTCAACAAACATGAAATACACAGCACAAGAGCATGCAGCCTTATTTCCATGTTCTTCAAAATATCAACATTCCGATTAGATTGTTGTTTTATTGTAGCTAAGTCTGAAAACCCCAGACTGAAGAAGATCTTCGGATTTTGTTGTTTTATTGTAGTAAAACACTTCTAAAATCAATATCTGGAGAAAGATCGCATATTATCCTGTTGTCTTGAGACAGAACACACCCCTTAGAACCCCCCACTGACAAAGATCTTATGCCGCCCTATTGAAGTAAATATCCTCAAAATCCCTGGTCGAAAATAAAATCTTATAATCTTGCTATATGTTTGTAGTAAAACACCCCTAAGCGTCTCTTCATCATTGTGGTCGAAACGGTCATTGTGATGCGATATTCAAAGGGGAATACCTCTCGAAGGCAAAACTATGTTTTGAGGACTTGTTATGTATACGTTAGCACCCTCCTCAAGGGTGATATGGATTTCAACGCTCGAGCCGTCATGTGAGAGCGTGCTAACCTACTTATACCACGTGGGCGCCGAATGGACTCGTACATTGCTTGTTGCACGTGCGTTTCCTGTACCACCAAGGTTGTTATCCACATATCAGCCTCTGCACGTGCAGATAGAAGGTTGATACACAGAAAATCAACCTGCCAGAACAATGGACATAACATACCCTAGTGGTATAATTCAAATAATATACCGTTTAGGATAAATTCTAAAATCAAATCTGTTTCCACTTCCAAGATGAAAACATCATATTCTCAACAAAAATGATAAAAAGAACATTAAGTAATATTGATAGTTGAAATTTCCAAGCGAGTTGGATTTCAATGCCATGCGTCGAAAACTGCCATAACCGCCTATACTATCCGTTGGAACAAGGTAAGATCAATTCATACAACCAGTGAAACTTCAGAGTACTGTTTCATATGAAGCGGTATTAACCAATCCTAAGTCTTCTTACATATCTGAAGGGTCATAAAGTATCACCTTCCTGTTTTTATTGTAGAAGTGCACGTCTCGAATCCTCAGTTAAAAAACAACAACCTTGTTTTACTGCTGTTGTATTGTGGCAATTCCCTAATGAAAAACCGCCTCAAACTTCCTCACCGAAAACATTCTCCAATCTTTCTTCGCAAAAGGGGGCGGTGGGGTAGTCTAGTGGTTAAAGCGTTGGCTCGTCACGCCGAAGACCCGGGTTCTAATCCCCACATGAGTACAGTGAGTGAAGCCCATTTCTGGTGTCCGCCACCGTGGTATTGCTGGAATACTGCTAAAAACGGTGACAACCTAACTCACTCACTCTTCTCAAAAGTACACTTCCTCTGAGCCACAGCACCCAATAATCACAGCTAGTCCTGGCCTTTTCACAATCGTAGCTGAAGCATGCACTGTAAATGTTATGTTAAAGATGTTAAGATAGTGGTTTGGGTTGAGTTGCTGTTTCGCCGCACTCGACAATATTTCAGCTTCTATATCGGCGATCTATAAACAATCGAATCTGAACCAGACAATCCAGTGATCGACATAATGAGCATCGATCTACGCAACCGGACCAGGTGACGTATGTGTCGACCAAGTCAGCGCTTATTGACAGCCGGTCCCTTTCACGACACTCATGGGTTGCTGAAAACTTCAATTCTAACCCGGATCTTGTACGTTAAGACAATGAAGTAGCTATCTGCAACACCCGTTTTACCTGTGGTGAGGACACAGGGTAAACCCAGCGCACCCATACTTCACTGGTTTGGTTCGTGCTCATGTATTGTTTGAGAATCTTCACCTCCCAACCCGCTTGGAAGGTGCCGTACCAACCGAATATCCGCCCGACCACCTGCCCACCAACACTCCGTCATCGTCATTACAGTTCATACCTGCAACAGGAACCCACAATACCACAAAGGGCTGGTGCCCTCGTTTGGTTGTGCTTGCACGCAAGCGGTGAGTAACTGAGTTTTGTTTACGCCGCTTTTAGCAATATTCCATCAATATCCCGTCGGGGCGCATGAGGATATAGGCTTCACGGTATTCCCAGGTCAGAATCCGAACCCGCATCGTCGGCGTGACGGACGAACGCTTTAGCAACAAGGCTGTCCACCGTCCTTGCGCAAGCGAAGTACTGACTGACTGAGTTTGGTTTACACCGCCTTTGCGAATATTCCAGCAACGGCTCATCGGCGGGGACACGAAACAGGCTTCACGTTATACCCATGGAGATTCGAACCCGGGTTTTTTCGGCGTGACGATCAACGCTTTAACCACTAGGCTACCCACCGCCCTCAAGCGAAGTAAATACAGGACACCACGTTGCTCGCATTGTTTGTTGGTTTGTTGATTTAACGCCACACTCAGCAATATTCCAGCTATATGGCGGCTCTGTAAATAATCGAGTCTGGACCAGACTATCCAGCAATCCACAGCATGAGCATCCATCTACGTAACTGGGATACAATGACATGTACCTTGGCAACTACATTGTAAGTCAGCGAGCCTGAACACCTGATCCCGTTTTGTTATCGCCTCTTACGACAAGCATGTGATGCTGGTGATCAATTCTAACCTGATCTTTACAGCGGGTTGTTACAGGAAGGCTCTGCCATGAGATAACGTTACCTTTTTAGTTTCAGCATTCCTTAATTGCAAGTATGTGTTGGTTCATTACTTTTCAGGCACTACTTACAATCTTGGAGGGCACGTGTAACTCTCACGGGGTTCCCCAAGGCTGGCGAAAGCTCTCAAAACCGAGCCTTCTGTAGCAGTAGAGACGCGTTAGGATCCATCTTCAAACTGAAACCGATAAGGTTATTGGAAACAAATTATAATCGTCAGTTGTGGAACGAATATTCATATTCACATTTGATAAAATTCTTCCATACTCGGGTACCAGCCACCCTAATTTCTGCTTAACCTTGCAAAATCACAGTTTCCTGTCAGATAGCCAGATGATTGGAACACATCATGTTTGACTGCTCTTGTTTAACGCCATACGTAACAGTGGTCAGCTTTATGACAGCAACTAGTAAATAATCAGCCCTAGCCAGAACAAGTAGAGGGTGATTGGTGTTTTGAAGTAAATAATCAAATCCAGTGATTGATGTTGAGAAAGTAAATAGTCGGCTCCTATTAAAAACAAACGCAGTGATTGATTGTGTAACGGTAAATATTCAAATCCTAGCCAGAGCGAAACTGAATGGTTGATGTTGTGAAAGCAACGATCGACGCCTTCGAAGGTTACGATGACACATATTCAACCAAGTCTAGGAGCTGACCAGATGTGATCCATTGATAAGCCTCATAGATTGAAGCTTGTAGCATGCTTCTGCCTTGGGTGTTCAAAGTTCTTTTCTTCTAAACTTTCGGAGGAAATACATTTAAAAACAACCATCTATCATTTTGTAAAACGACCAGACAAGCTGATGTGTTTGTCCAGTTCTTGTAAGCATTTGCGGAAGCTGTTTCTTTCTGAAATCGTTCAATAAGGACCAGTCTATCAACATGGAACCTTCGATGAATGAAACTTCTACTTTCAGTATGGCGAGTGGGTCCTTCTTCTGGTGTTACTGCTGCTCATACTTTGCACAGGAAGAGATCCTATTTTTGCAAGTAAAAACTTCTTTTAAATACTTTTCTCAATTAAATATTACGCGGCAATCACGATCCATGAAGGTTAATATGCAGTTCATACTAGGAATAGAGGTGAGGTGAAGTTTAGTTTTACGCTGCGCTCAATATTCCAGCTGTTAGCTAAGCGCCGTTCTACCATCGTCGAAGTCTGGGCCAGAAATCCAGTGATCCGCTTAGCGCCGAGGCATCGATCCGCGGTTGTTGGGAACCGTTGACATGTGCCAACAAAGTCCTTGTCTAAGCCGCGATCCATGTAAGTCGCCTTTTACGACAAGCATGGGTTACTGAAGGTCGAATTCTAACCTGGACGTTCACGATTTACAGGCATAGAACATAAAACTACATGGTTGAACGCGCACCCATCCAAAGTTCCAAAGGGCGTCCATACTGGTATTTGTGATAGCACGATACGCATCCCGAATCATTCAAGAACAGCTGTTCAAGGCAGTCTGTGTCAGCCATATAAACCAAGTCCTGGAACAGAATTAATAATGACATTTTCATTGTGTTCGTCACGTATGCATATCTGTTTTAATGGTAAAGATGCACTGGCCTATAGTGTTATGTTATTCATTAAACAATGCCTTTGCGTGTATTTCATTCCCAAACCTCAAACCTCAACCGTGGTTGGTTAGGAAAAAATCGCTAGAAATAGATGAAGAAGTATAAAATACTTTACACCAATTGTGTAGCCCATTCGTGAGATTGAATATTTAGATGACTTGTTAATCAAAGTCTACAATCATCTTTTGAAATAGTACTATTGACCTTGCTCATTCTATGACTCTTGTGAGGATCGATATTTGGACTGTGCATGTCCTTGTGACGTCACATGGTGTCATATGTTCTTGATATAAACTAACGAGCAAAAGAAACGATACCAAGTCGACATTACTGATATTACAAAACGTCAAACCACCATTGTGAAAAGGATATTGAAATTTAATAACATGCGTATGGGCATCATGTAGTCGCCACAATTACCCGGTTTGTCGTTTTAATAATATCAATGATTTCGACTTTGGTATCGTTTCTTTGCCCGTTATGGTAGTTCCGAGTCTTACAAGGGACTGTTGCCTTTATGATGCTGTCGTTTGTATTCCCTGCGACCTTCTTTACACCAGGGTTGAAAGAACGATCACGTCTTCGCCATAGAGTGTACGTCAGACGATGTCTTCATATCCTTGACAGCACCCACGACGGTGTTGACGCTGACTCCACACCCCACGGGTGAAGACGCGAGGATGAAAACTGACACTGTTGGGGCACCGCCTTCTTCACCAGGTTCGCTCCCGCACTTCCGGGGTTTGTGAGGGGCAGCCTTAGGATTCCTCTGAACTGAAAGACTTAATGACCCTCTTCTTATCATCATCTTCACTTCCTGTGGTAAACACAAATGCAAGCAGCTTCCGCAAGCCCATATCTTTGGCGATTCATGACCAGCATTAACCATTTTTCGTTAGAGACAACCCACCCCTCCCAAAAACATAAATAAATAAACTAATTCATAAATAAATGATCTGCGCTATTATTGTTGAAAATAAAATAAAAATCCAATCAATCAATCAAGTAATCAATCAATGTTCAGTCAATCAGTCCAGTCAATCAGTCCAGTCAATCTATCAATCGAGATCGCTGTTGTTGAAATCTGCGCTAAGTAGAATTTTGCAGTATAAGAATGTTTCGTAAACATATGCTGCACCCGGGAAGGTGCTTACATTGACTATCTGAGTGGGTACTCTGCTCATTGGAAATCGCTTCATTGAAGCACCTACATATTTGCATGTCCATTACAACCGACATATTGACCATGTTTGGTAAAGCGTACATTGACCTTCATCTTTACATTCCTGGAGACATTTTGGAACGTTTAGAGCACAGCTCACCTGGCGACCAGCATTTTTGGAACTTTTTTAGACACAAGTCAGCAACTACAACCGCTTTGCATGTTGGCACGGCATCTAACAAAAAGTCCATTGATGCCACTAGCATCTTGGTAAGGTTTAGACACAAGCCCACGGAAAACATGTTGTTATCATCGCTACCAACCGAGTGAAGTCCAAAATGTCTGTCATTCTTTTTGATGTCATACGCTACCCACGAAGAGTGAAGTCAAAGTGATAATATTCTTCTTGATGTCATCGCTACCAACCGAGAGAAGTCCAAGTGATATCATTCTTCTTGATGTCATACGCTACCCACCAAGAGTTAAGTCTAAAGTGATGCTATTCTTCTTGATGTCATACGCTACCCACCAAGTGAAGTCCAATGGTGATAATATTCTTCTTGAGGTCATCACTGCCAACCGAGAGTGAAGTCCAAAGTGATGCTATTCTTCTTGATGTCATACGTTACTCCACCTAGAGTGAAGTCCAAAAGTGATGCTATTCTTTCTTGATGTCATACGCGCTACCCACCAAGCAGTGAAGTCCAAAGTGATATCATTCTTCTTTATGTCATACGCTACCCACCCAGAGTGAAGTCCAAAGTGATATCATTCTTTTTTGATGTCATACGCTACCCACCAAGAGTGAAGTCAAAGTGATACTATTTTCTTGATGTCATACGCTACCCACCGTGAGAGTGAAGTCCAAAGTCATATCATTCTTCTTGATGTCATACGCTACCACCCAGAGTGAAGTCAAAGTCATATCATTCTTCTTGATGTCATACGCTACCACCCTAGAAGTGAAGTCCAAAGTGATACTATTCTTCTTGATGTCATACATGCTACCCACCTAGAGTGAAGCCCAAAGTGATACCATTCTTCTTCTTAATGTCATACCCTACTTACAATAGATGATGAAGTCCACAGTGATATCATTCTTCTTTATGTCATGCGCTAACTCCTAGATAGAAGTCCAAAAAGTCATATCATTCTCCTTGATGTCATGCGCTATTATTACTCTGAATTGAAGTCCAAAGTCATATCATTCTTCTTGCTGTCATGCGCTAACTACAGTGAAGTCTAAAGTGATGTCATTCTTCTTGATGCCATGTATACGTACCCAGAGTGAAGTCAAAGTGATATCATTCTTCTTAATGTCACACGCTCTGTCAAAGTTGATGGTCATCTTGAACTCTTGACCTCTATGGACTACCAGCAGAGCCTTCTTTTCTCGATGTCATACTGACCCGGTCTTGTGTACCTCGTACATATCGGTGTTGTGGTATCTCAACGTTGTAGGCAATGGGAAGTCGACTCCCCCGTGACGTGGGAGTTTGTTGCCAACTCAGGCTCAGA